GAGTGAAATTCTGTCCAACAGCCCATATTTCACGTTCTATATGATCCGTGGGGTGAAATGAAAAGACGATATGATCCAGAGCCTTCCGTCTGGGCAACTTCAAATATGTTCTTCTCGGCCCATTAGATCCCGATGAAAACCGACACACATAGACTCTCGCGCTGAAGAGTAGACGGCCCCAAACCGTTCTTGGCCGACCCTGCTCATCACTCGATAGCGTTATATCCTCCATTATGACCTCCGGGTCCTCTCCATTGAAACGCGCTCTGATTTTACGCTTGCATAGCTCCACGAATTCTTTTGAGAATGTCTCAATCTCCGTCTCGGTTAGTGTCTCGGATTGAGCATGAGCCAGGTCGTCCTTCTCTGTTTGAGATACAAAATCCATCATCGACTCAGCCATCTTGATCTAGTAGCAAAAAAAGAGGTTTGATGCAAGTTTCTTGACACGTCGGATTAACATCTAACTGACTTAAAGTAAATTGTTGACTGATCACTTCACTGGCATTTGCAACAGATACCTATGCAATTATAATGCTGCTAGAAGACAAAGCATCCCAGTGGCTGTCAACTTCTCCCCTCTAATCAACGTGTCTGAAACCTACCGTGTATCGCGACGTGTGTGTGTTTGTTTGTGCGTGTGTGTGTGTGTATGTGTGTATGTGTGTGTGTGTGTGTGTGTGTGTGTGTGAATGTGTGTGTGTGTGTGAATGTGTGTGTGTGTGTGTGTGTGTGTGTGTGTGTGTGTGTGTGTGTGTGTGTGTGTGTGTGTGGTGTTAGAGATGGACCGTCACCTCGAATTTTATCCCTTGTGATAATACGTGATAACATAGCTGAACCAAGAAGTGTACGTGTTCGCTTAGCCGAACCAAGAAGTGGTGTACTGCAGTTGTTGCAACTGATATTGTTCCGTTCGTTTTCGTGCTCCAGTACAAGGTTGTGAAGTTGTTCTTCAGGTAATCGCAAGGTGCTCGTGTCGGATATCAGGTAACACCGCTCTAGGGCTATACCTTTGGTACAATATTTAGTAGCGATAATAGTCATCCGGGGAGAAGGGGAATTCCCACTATATCCGTGCACTATACATATATTGGTGTTTTCTTGCATGATGTAGGTGCGCAAGACTCGGGGTGCTTGTGTCTTCTTCATGCGGTAGTCATGATCAGTCACGTGTCAGCTTGAAACCCCGATGCGATAAGCCTATGTCCAGAGTTTTTGAGCAGCCATTTTTCCATATCACTGACGAAGTCGCAGGATGAGAAGTGGAACATTTGTCGGTCGCACGGATATGAAATACATTTGACTAGATGATATTATTCAAGTGAAGTGACAGTCTTGTGTATTTACAATGCCGTGAGTCACTCAGTGTTTGCTCTCTCAGCGCCTGGTGCTATAAGGCCTGACTCAGGTGATTGTGCTTATATTGTTGCAGAACTAACACGATGGATCGAAACTTGAGACGTGTCTACGTGGTCCCAACGCCGTTGCAACTGTGAAAATAATTGAAGTGTCTGCCTTTGTCTGTTCTATACCAATGTACTCTATGTAGTGTAGATCACGTGTTCATTGGTTGTCGATTCACAGGGCTTCACAGGTCGTGCGAATTGAGCAGTTATCTGGCGGTAATCTTCATCTGTCTCATTCAGATCTGGTTCCACTTCAGTACGCCGAAAACCATTTCGTCGAGTGACATTTCATTGCCGTAGACTGGTCGGAAACCGCGTTGATGCTTAGACAATTCTCGAAAGACGTAATTTGCCGAAATGCTATTTAGGCGATTACCAATTAGACGAGAGGTGTTTCGACTACAGAGCATTTCGCTGAATTCTTGTCTCTTACACACCTGGTAAGCCTTTCCAGGTGGCAGGCAGAGGATTACTTCGGTACTTCCCAGGAGTATAACCAGGGTTGGAAGTATTGTCCCGAGGCAAGTCGCTCTAGAAATGGCTATATTCCCAGTGCTTTGGGCAAACTCCCTCTTTTCTACATCAGCAACGCCTCACTGCATGAAGGAATGACAAAAATTGGAGCAGCTTCACGCAATGGAACTGTATTGTAATGTATTATGATGAGAACGTTACACGCTCTATCCACGTAATAGGTAGAGGTGCATTAAATGATTTAATCGTCCTCTCAAAGGTTTGCAAACTTGCTTTTTCGCTCAAGACAACTAGCCAAAGTGATTTTGGGAGCTTTGTCCTGTCATTATCACCAGGTTTGCAGTTTGCGAAGAAATACAGAAGATTGGAACAGGCTCAAGGCATGAGACGTTATCGTAAAGAACGTGACTGAAATGCGATCCGCGTTTTGCAGTGCTGGGAGTAGTGTTGGAGTAGAAATTGCCGACTCCGCATCAAGGAGGGGCCAGCATTCCTCTAGGCAGGTATGGGTTTGGGCATATTTCAGCATGGTGGAGTGGAAAAATTCAGGTTTCAGGATATCGAGAAAACCCACAAATTGATGAAGGTGACATGGTCCCAGTGCAAGAAGAGGTGTTCTGCTATCTGCCGGTGTACAATTCTAGTTAAGAGAGGACGTAGCTCACTGTTTTAGCACTGCTTGCAATTTGGATATGTTCATTGCGCCCATTTTTGGCGTCAGAAGCTGATGGTCCTCGGTTTCGGGAGTGCTGACGCGGCAAAGCGGTACTTTTTCCCTTTCACGCATGCTAAACGGCTTGTACTTGCACCTTGCTAGTTCCTCTCGACGGCGTGCTGTCGCTCCCATCTTCCCCAGCATGGCTGTCGTCCTCTTTTCC